TAATTGTAGAATGGGTTGCCCAAAAAGGATTGATTATGTTTCTAGTATGGTCAGGTGTAAACAAATCGGAAATACAGATCCGAATGTTACACAAAAAACGATTTTGATGGGGGTAAACTAGAAAGGAACTTTTAAAAATTTAAAGAGTAGAAAAAGAGAGTTCTGATATTTTTTATCCTAAAACGATCAATTTTAGGTTAAATTTGATGTACTATAGCTTGTTTTGAAGCCAGAGATGAATTCTGCAAATTCTATTATGAGGTTTCAGTATGTTATTAAGCCCAGTTTGCCAAGAAGGGCAAAACTTTGGAGAGAGGACAGAGTTTTGTCCGTCTGTCTTTGTAAATTGAATATCTCGAAAATGGTAAGAGATAAAGACTTGAAACTTCACAGATATATATAGAAACGGTTGCTGAACAATTGTTATTAAGTGACTAAAGGTTGTTAACTTAATAAAATTTGTATAAATTGAGAAAAAGTAAAAAATATTTTGGACAAAATTTTGTGTACAAGTGATAAGCAGAAAGAGTTTTTGGATATTGATAGTACTTAATTGTGTTTCTAAAATTAATATTTATATTATAATATAATAAAATAAAATAATAATAAATGATATATACTTCTCTATTAATTCTATTAGAACAATATATATAATTTTGAAAAAGTTGTTCAAGATAATTTAAATTTATATTTTGATTAATTGAAATATAACGATGTCCTTTTTGTCCCAATTTGTATTTCTTACATCCAATAAATTTTTGAATAAGTGATATAATATTATTAATCTAAATAATAATTTATATTAATAAAATTATTATTTAAAAAGTTATATTAAATATAAAATATTACCTTTTTATATTCTCTAAAAACAGGTTTACCATTACATTGAATATTAGTAACTGGATTAATATAAGAACATGGAGTATTATGAGCTTGACTGAAAGTACTAAAATTAAAACAAAAATTTAATAATTTAAGATATAAAATCATTTAAATTAATATATATATTTACTTAAGAGTAATAGTATTGACAGAAGATTCATTCGCATCAAAGATCTTTTTATATAACTGGCTTTCAAAATCAACAACTGTATGCTCAATATTAAGTTCTGATGAACTAAATTCACACATTTTTACACCAAGACATGAACGATAATTCTTGCGAACAGATACACCCAAGAATGGACATTTTTTAATTGATCGAATGGTTTCAGGATTTCCATAAGAATATTGAAGATTGGCAATTCCAAATGCTTTTTTTGCATTATTTGGGTTCCATCCAGAAACATTGTACACACTAGCAACTCCAGTAGGTGAAGTTTTTGGATATTCTTGAAATTTAAGAAAATACTCAACTTGATCAACACTTAAATTTTGACCGAATTGTGCGAATGTTGGCTAATAATAATTTAAATTATATACAAAGTAAATAATTTTTATATTATTAAATAAAAATAATAAATTAAATATATTTACTTACTAGATTATATAAATCACTTTCATTATTTGTCTCAAAACTACTATTAATTATATTGTTTTTTAAACTACTATTAAGTGCGGCAATCTCATTTTCTAAACTATTACTAACTATACTATCCATATCTTCATTATTACAAGACATCATATCACTTGGACTTTATTTATTCAAATATAGTATTTAAATTAGTAATAATTACAAATTAAAATGTATATAGTTAACTAGAAAAAATAATAAAATAGAATATTTTATTACCTTATAAAAAGAATCGACTATTTCAACAGATGGTGAATTAGAATATGAAAAGACACTACCAGAATTATCCGTTTTAATAGATCCATATAATAAAACATTCAATTGCCTTTGAATGCCTTTATTACTTGTTACTGCCTCAGAAGTAGAGGATGTCTTTTTAAATTATATGTATGTTACGTATAACATTATAATTTAGTCTATAACTTTATTAAATTACAGTTAATTTTAGCTACAATTACCGCTGTTATTAACTCATCGTCTGTATCAGATAACTATATTACTTCTAGTTGACATTCAGAGATAATCAAAGATAATTTCGAATTTGGTGTCTTTAAATCCATTGGTATTAGTATTTGGTATTGCTATTTCACAAATTTTTCAATAAGAAAATTGAACTAAAAAAGGTTTAGACTTACAACAAACATCATACATATTTATTTATTGTTGACATATTATCTAATTATAATTATGCGTAATGCACAAGTTAATCGTTATACACAATCCGAATTCGGATTCTACTGATATGTGTAATATTTATGCCATAAAAAAATATTACAGTAGTTAAGTACATAGTGTGTATATACGTACATACATATTAGCGATCAATTGATAATCATATTATATGGTACTAAATCAATTATCGTACTGTACTTAATATATATATATTCTAATTTTATTTTCTCACGCATTCTACTCAGAATGAAAAAAACCAAGTGTACAAAGTGTTAATAAGAGGCACACAAAATTATCGAATCTTGAATTATATGTTAGAGCAGATGTTTTACATTTATTTAAATACAGATTAGATGATATTAATGGAATTATTTTTACAAGTCAAGTAAGAAAAAACTCTTTGAAGGTGTAGCCAGTCTGCAAACATATATTAAATCACATAATTTTGTATATATACTTGACCTTTGCTAATATTAACCTATTTGGATTACTCTTATATTTATATTGATAGAGATATTAGTAAGAGATCATAGTAAAGTTAATATATATAAGGAAATTTTAATATATAAAAATTTATAAAAATGAGGGTGTGGTGACTTAGTAAAGTGGTGAAGTTGCCACTTCTCAAGCAGTTGAGTGCAAGTTCAATTCTCACAGCGAGTGAAAATTGAATTTAGAAAAAATGAATTTGGCAATTATTGTTGTGGCTTGAAAAACTTGAGACTCTGAAACTGCAGTCGTATCAAGTAGTGATTTGAACTGAGAAAATTTTTTTAATCAATTAACCGAAACAAATTATTTTATTCAACTGATTGCTAACTAGTTAAGAACATATACTCGTCGAATAAGTCTCTCTAAGCAGGCGATCTAGGTCCTGGCAATGTTGCAATTTCTATTGATTATAGAAAATTCTGTAATAATATAATCTGTCCAAAAAAGTGTATTTGAGTACTACCAGGAAAAGTGAACATTAGGTTTAGAGTTAATATCTGGATTTGGATTTAATTGTTTATATTCAGATTTAGTTATAAATCTGTATTTAATTATTAAATCTGTATTTAATTATAAGATACAAATTTAATAATGATACCTAGACTTATATATATTATCTCTATATATTTAAAACCAAATTTGTGAATAGACAAAGGTAATGTACTTAATATTTGAATTAAGATATCAGATCTATATTCAGATCTAATTGTTAAATTCAGATCTAATAAGTATAAGTAATTGAATCCAAATCCAAGTATTAGCTTTATTTAGGCATTCAACTTTATAACATATTAGACAAAACTTCTTGAAAATTTTAATTAGTGATATACAGTTATCCCTCTATATAGTTACCTTTCATATAATTATATTATATAATTGCATTCAAGTTTAGGCCAAACTAAGATTTAATTTATAAGAAAAAGACTTTCTTATAAGCACAACCTCTATATAAGCACATTCTGAAAAAAATTTACTGTACCCAACTGTGTGATTATATGGAAGGTCAACTGTATAATATATAATTAAACTTCAATTAAGTCAAAATTTTCAGAATCTTTGTCTAATACATTATATGATTAAAGCCTGAAGTTTTATTTTTTTTTGACAGTATATAAGAATAAAAACAATTGTGTAATTTAATTGTTTATAATTTTGATTAAAATAATAAAATTTAAAAATTTAGTAAAATAATAGGTTATATACAAATTGTAATTATTTAAATTAATAAATGTATTTTAATTAATTCAAACACAATTAAACTAAATAATAAATATAAGTTTGAATAATTTATTTCTAAAATGTAGATAAATAAGTATAGATTTACTAAATTAAATAAGAAAATATCTAATTTATACCAGGGGATATTGATATCCAGGGTGCTATATCTCAAAAACGTTAATAAGAAACAGGGTCAGGTATACTAAGTAAAAATGTTCAGCACACCCCAAAACCTTGTGTATTCTAAATTTGGACCAAAATATCTTACTCTATTTTGGTGTAAAACTGTATCCTAACCCTAAATTTTAATAAAAACTATTATATCTCAAAAACCTAACTAAGAAACAGGGTTAGATGTACTAAGTAAAAATGTTCAAAACCCTCCAAAACCTTGTATAACTTAAAATTTGAACTATTATATCTGACCTCTATTTTGGCATTAAACTGTACTCTAATCTTAAATTTTAGCAAAAAACTATTTTTATAATAAATTTGGAGTGGATATCAATATCTCCTGGTGTAAAATACATTTTTACATTAAATAAAATTAAATTTATATTATTAAGTTTTTAAAATAATTCAATTCAAAGCAACACAATAGATTGTATAATAATATTTATTAAGTTATATAACAGTTCTTTTATTATATATTTTGCAAATATTTGATGACCTTTTATATCTTTTTTGTTTTTTTTATTCAAATATTAATTTTGGTAAGTTAAATTTTTTTCATCAATTTTTTGAAATTTATTTGCTATATTGATCAAATTTACCTTTCTAATTAACTTCTATTTTAGCCCATTTATCAAATAGTAAACAAAAGTTTGTTATTCATTATCAAAAAATCCACTTCCCAATTTGAATTATTAAATAAATTGCTTAACAGATTATATGCATTTTGATTCTGAAATAAACATTTATAATTTTCATTTTTGTAATTATAGTAATAAATGTTTTCTTTGAAAACTTCAAAAAAAGACCTTTTAAGCCTATATTTCTATTAACTTAAATCTTCTCAAACAGTTTCTTTTACATATTAATATATCACTACAACTTATTAATATAATTACTAATCTTCTAGCAGACTGTCACAACAAAGTTATTACTAATTTAAGGCTTACTAAATCCTATTCAGTTAAAAATGATATTAACTAAGGAGAGACTATCATACCTCTTTTCTGAAAAATATACTATGGCCCACTTATTTACAAAATCTTATTCCAATTTACTAGCTTCATCTTATCTATATTATGAAAAACTAATATTCACCTCCTACTAGCCAACATCTACAAACCTTAGTCTTTGTTCTTATCTATATAGACAATATATTGTGAATAGCTAAAACAAAAGAAAAATTATAATATATTATTAAAACTGCATTCTTTTTATCATATAACAAATATATAAACCAATGCAATCAAGTTTATACTGGCTACTAATTCATCTTCTTCAGCTATTACATTTATTAACAATTTACTTAATCTGATTTCTTCAAACAAATCTTTTAAATTTCTTGGCTGCTAGTTTACTGTAAACAACATATAACTTATCCAAAATAAAATATTCCAATTAGCACTAAAATGATTACTGATAAGCAGATGCTTATATTATTAATACTATTATTATCTCTACTCTGAAGTACAAAATATACAATATTATACTTTCTCAAACTATATATAACAATATTTTGTTCAAATATTTAATTATAGCTAAGTACAAATCTTATATT